CGCTTTTCTCTGCGCTTTGACTGTGCGCGAAAAGAGTTTCGCAACATTTAGCCAAGGGGTTTAAGCAAAGTTGACCTCATCGGCTATCTGCTTTTCTTCGGAGTTTTTGGCTTGCTCAAAGATTAGTTGGATCAAGGGCAGAACGGGAATGTCCTTCTTTTGATGCAAACGGCGTGAGAGTCTACGCAACCTACGACGAAAAGACAGGGGAAAGTATACGTCATCCTTGACATGTATTATTTTCTTACGGGGGAAGAACGGGGCATAATTGGATCCAGTACTTTTTACAGTGTATCAGTACAAACATTCACATTCGAACATTAGAAAAAGTCAGACCAGTCGAGGAAATAAAGATGTGTCAATAATTCCGCCCTATTTGCTGATCGGAAGTCATGTAAAAACTATATTTTTTGGGAAAACGTTTCGTCCGCCTCCAGTTCTAGTGCAGTACCAACTATGGGATGGTCTGAACTCCAAAGTGCGTCTAAAGATGACACGGACAGTGGTTCACACACTCTACAGAAAATTAAGTCCATTATGTTTCATCCTCGGGTGCGAAAATCAACTACTTGATCCCACCTGCCAATATCTACAGCCTCCAGTAAGTTCTCAAATTTTGGAGGACCTGAGGGCGGAAACCACTGCACTTCAGGAAGATTGAAGTCGCCTGCAATTAAGCAGTACTTACGACTCAAGTCGGCCACGGCATGAAACGCCTGCGAGAGACAAAGATCGTAGTCCCCACTGGCATTGGGTAGGCGATACACACATAGCCAATGAGTAAGGAGTAATTATCCCTTAGAACAACTCGGAGCCTGCAGCTCTCCTCTACGGCCGTTAATTGTGGATAGTCCGGCGGCAGAAATGTACGTGGTGTTTCACATAGATGCAGGTTCCTCCACCACGGCCATTGTTACAATCACTTCGAATGCAAGCATAGCCTCGAATAAAGAGTTCGGAGTCAGCTACACAGGACGATGCCCATGTCTCTGTTACCATCGTAGGGCCACCCAGTGGCGAAGTCTCCCAACCCCAGTTTGAATGCTTGAGGAAGGAGGAGTTAATGCGGGATAAGTGAACAGTAGAAAATAGTTTTTTTTTACCGAACTAAGACGTAAGTGAAAAGGTTGCCAAAAGAACAAAGTAGCTCAACATAACAATGAGAGCAAACGGAGCCTATGGGCCACAAATCTATTAGAGCGACTCCTGTTAACATTAAGCAGCACCACTATGAATCTTCAATATAGGCAGAGAAAGTACCTTTTGCAAGATATACAACTGACATCCCGGACACGGATACATTTGAGCAAAGCAGCGACGATTTTAGCAAGTTTGTGATCCAAATCTTCAAGTCGTTCTGTGCGTCCAAATCTTGCCGTTGTAGGCCATTGCGGCAATTGACAACGCGTTTCACAGTTGGGAGTTCTGTCCACTATTAGAATAAATCACCCATCCTCATTGAAAGGCAAAAGCGAGTCAGTCGACCATTGTTGGACACGAGTAAAGTCTGCCTTCGAGTGCTATTCGCTAACTGCAAATCGGATGACACTCCAATGCTTAATATCCTTGACAAACATATGACACAAGAACCAAGTTCACTAACGGATGCGTTGGT